TAACCCTAGCCACTTATACTTCAGCCGCCACCTCTCTTTTCCAACATGGATAGGAGGGACTAATATTGCCAACATAGGGGCTGTAGTTGCTGCCGTTCGTTTGTTAGAGGGGAACGAGCCTCTCCCATCTCCTTCTCTGTTCTGTTGGTGCTTCATCGCTGCTGCGGTTCCGACGACCATTCTGCCACCGCTTTTCGCCATTCATGTTGCCGTTTCCGCTCCGACTGCCGCCGTCAACCTCCTTCAAGATCGAAGAAGAGATGCTCGGTGGGTGTTTCTACACATGTGTGCGCGTGGTTCTATACGTGTCGGCGTGTGGGTGTGTTTTTTTGGGCTGGCCGAAAACGTTTGGAACCACCATGGCAGTCAACCATGGTGGTTGTCGGTCGGGTGCTACTCTTCTGCCACCACCAGCCACCGTGTGAGGTGGCTGTGTGTGATGTAGTGTGTGTGATATAGTGTGTGGGTGAGAAACCCTTGGCCGGAATCTGAAAAGGAGTCACCACTACCACCATGAGGTGGTAGCTGCCACCATGTGCCACCGCCGGCCACCAGCCGCCGTGTTGGGTGGTGGTGTGCCTTGTTTGTGTTTTGATTCATTTGGATGCTTGGACAAATGGACTAGAACCATAACCACCACCGTGAGGTGGTGGCCGCTGCCGTTGACCACCACTACCCGAGGTGGTAGTGGGTGGTGCCCGACTAACGAAACCCTAATGGGCTTAGTTAAACCCTAGTGGGCTTAATGAAACCCTAATGGGCCCAATGGAGCCCTAATTGACCTAAAAGCCCAACCATGTGATTAATGGGCTAGTATTTGGGTTGGAAACCCTAATTAGGGTTTGGAAAACCCTAATGTCATGAAACCCTAATTTTGGAAATTTGATCGGGACCCGCACTGGAATTATTTATTAGACAGAAAATGTTAATTAATAATCATTTGCAAGTTAACCTATGGAAATATTGGACTTAATGGATTAAGTCCTTAATGGGTTAAGTAGGAACACTTAACCCTAATCGTCATTTCATGTGAAAACCCTAATTTCACTTGGGCCTTGAGTAGGGCCTTTCTATTGGGCTTTGGTGATTGGGCTACTGATGGGCTATCCAAGAACAAGTAAATGGACTAAAATATTTTGATGGGCTTTAAGGAAAGGCCCATGTGAGGGTATGGGCCCAATTTGGAAAATTAGGCCATAAATGGGCCATAACTGGGCCTTGAGGATTATGAGAGGTCGGACCAATTGAAATGCCAAATGTTTGGACTGGACTAAGTGGTTGGGCCTTAGGGTAAGACCATGTAGAGGTCTGGGCCCAATTTGCAAAATTGGGCCATATGTTGGGCTTTGGTCCATTGGTTGACTATTGGGCCTTTGGAGTGTGAGTTGGACCTTGGGCTTGGAACCCAATTATTAATTGGGTGTTGTTTTGATGTTGACAGCTCAAGAATCTATCAACCAGTAGCTGGATTTTTATCCGCGGGACTCCAGCAGTATGAGGTGAGTTTTCCTCACTATACCCAAGGGTCTAAGGCACCAAGGCCGACCCTTTTGGATTGTTATCCTGATATGTTATGCTAGTATGATCTGTTAGATTAGTATCCTGGTAGATAGGATGGTATTATGCTATTATGATCTGTTAGATCAGTATCCTAGTAGGTAGGATGGTATTATGCTATTATGATCTGTTAGATCAGTATCCTAGTAGATAGGATGTTATTATGTTGTTATGATCCGTCAGATCGGTTTGTCTGTCTATAGACTGTTATGTGATTATCTGTTATATGTGCAGATGTTTGATTGGTGGTTGAGGCTCATCTGCTTTGTGCGAGAGCCAACAGACCTGGGCATTCGAACCCGATGGTTGTGGGCCGTGAGTATTCCATCCCGAGGATGATTGGACTCATATTGTGTGGGCATTCCAACCTGATGGTTGTGGGCCGTGAGTATTCCATCCCGAGGATGATTGGACTCAAATTGTGTGGGCATTCCAACCCGATGGTTGTGGGCCGTGAGTATTCCATCCCGAGGATGATTGGAATCATATTGTGTGGGCATTCTAACCCGATGGTTATGGGCCGAGGGTATACCATCCGAAGGATGACTCGACCCAAAGTATGTTGCCATTCCAACCCGATGGTTGAGGGCCTGGGGTATTCCAACCCGATGGTTGATTGGACCCATAGTATGCTGTTTGTGATTATATGTGTATTGTTGTGTGTATGGGTATTTTGGGGGAACTCACTAAGCTTTGTGCTTACAGATTCAGTTTATTGTTTCAGGTGCTTCAGATGACTCGGCAAAGCGAAGGCCTGACCGTACACATCCTCGTGATTTGGACTTATGGTTTCTGGGATACTCTGATATTAAACTATTTTGAAAACATTTTGTAATAACTAATGACTTTTGAATGTTTGAAAAAGTTTTAGATTGACTTATTTTTTTATGGGTGTTACACATCTGGTGCCATTTCTGAAAAAAGTTCGTCGAATATTGGTGACTGATCAAGAACGTTGACGTTATTGTTGGAACCCGCAACCCCGAAAAATGCATGGAAAATCCAAAAATTTGGGAAGCAACAACTTCTAATACCAACGAAGGCGATCCATGATGACCACTTGCATATTGACCTTTCCATGCTACCAGACAGTTTTTCCATTTCCAGTGTGTGCAATAAATTTTTCCAAGCATTTCGGGAAGCCCATGTCTTTCTTCTTGTGCCGCATACGATTCTTGCATATAATGCAACGAAGGTTTCCACAAATATACGTCTCCAAATGTTTCAACAACACCTTTTGACAATCTATACAAACTTTTCCTAGCTGTTCTTTCGGACATTCTCATATAATTGTTCATGGTATCGGGTGACTCCCCTATAGTCATCAAACGAATGGCCGCGACACATTTATGCAATGTTATGAATCCTTGCCTACCTCTTAACCTCTAGCATCATATCTCAATTGAAAAAAATGTATACCTAAACATATATTGATTATGTATTAAAAATATAGTAAAATTGTATTAAAATATGTATTAAAAATATAGTAAATTTGTATTTATTTTGCACAAAGATATAGTAAATATGTATTAAAATTAAAGAAATGATAGCGGTTTTCCAAGACGTTGGCGATCTGTAGGAAAACATTCCTACTCAAACAAAATCTTCTTTTGAACTCCTTTGACCTGTATACACATTTATCTGCAAGTAATCGCAATATAGACGTTCGTGTCCTTCGTCGTTATTTTTTTTTAACATCGAACGTTTTGTTAGTAGAGGGGTTGTGTCTGATTGTAATAGCTCGTTATTGCAATACTGGTAGATCATAGTGATGAATATATCGTCACTGTCATCGTCGGAAGAGTCAAAAGGATCCATAATTTTTTTATTTGAAAAGTTTTGAAATTGTATAAAATGTATAGGAAGAGAAGAATTGTGTGAATAAAATTATGATAGATAATATGTATTTATTAAAAAAAACACTTTTTTATTAATGTTCAATTACAACGTTCAAAAGAAAACGTTCCAAAAAGTTCTAGCCAATCGCATTAGCCGTTTTGTCCCGTTTTCGTCACAACGAGAATCAACTTAACACCCCCTTAACGAGCAACGGGGTGGTGTTCCTTGTGTTAAGATGACATTTTGACCGCCACCTCATCAACAACGGCGGCTTAAAAGCCTCGTACCCATCGCTCTAATACACATCAAACTCTTTATTTTTGCAAACGTAACTAAGAAAAAGTGCCCTTATAGGAAGCATTGAACTTAACATATGGTTCTAAAATATACGTTATTTTTAAACGACATAAAAACTTATTAAACTAATAAGTTGCTTGAAGCCAAAGAACCCTAAAACATTAAAATTCTTATTTTTATTAACCAACAAAAAGAAAGAATAAGAAATAATCATGTTAAAATTGTTCCGTCTTCTTTGGTAGCCGCTCTGAAAATCAATGAATAATGAAAGTTCCAAAACATTAAAAAGTAGTGAGCGTTACATCTTCAAATGCTTTCTTTTGATCCAAATTCCCGTTCAAGATTTTGGGCTACTCTATTCATTCTAAGCACATTTCATCGATGTGCTAACGGGTACTACTAACTATGAATGTCTCAGATGGATTTTAAGTCCCACACACAACAAACAATATATATCATTAGGAGGAGTAAAATTTATGCACAACAAGGTCAAATCTCAAGTTGATTAGATTCAACACCTCACCAAACAACCCTATGCCAAGACCATTTCCAAACCCCATCTTGCCAATGATCCTTAATACAACAACCTTTATCAACTTCTAAAGCACATATCCTAGATCACATTCCCCATCCAAACCTCCTCTCACAATCGAGTATTAGAGCCACCTCTTACCCTCATTTGCATGGTAGGGTGCATAAAAATACATTTATCGTTAAGACGATTATAGGAGTCAACTATGTTTGCTTAAAATCTCGTGACTTTCAGTTTATCACCATTCAAACTTCTGCAATGAAACACCCCTCGTTAAGGTAGTTTAAAAAATCATTAAAAAATCATTGATTTTTTTATAATTTTTTTTTATCTTAATTTATGTGGAAAATACGGTCCTGGTATAATTTAAAATACTTAAAAATATTTTTGTGCGGAATTTGGTCCCAAAGTACCAAAAAAAACTTAGTGTTTTATTTAAAAGAGCGAGACAATCATCCAATTAATAATATCATAAGATCAAATGCAACATCACAACCCGAGACCTTCTAAATATCATTGTTATATTCTAAGCAAGTCTTAAATATCTATTCTGAACACAAGTCAAAATAAGTAAAGCAATAGAATTTCCAAATTAGAATAATTGATGTTTGACTCATTCAGAGTAATGATAACGTGACATCCCTTATTTTTCATAAATGAATAAAATTTTTCTTTATGACTTCAAAACCGTGTTGTCTTTGTTTGCAGAAAGTCCTAGTTTGACAAAACATATTGAGTAACAAACTTTGTTTCAAAATACCAAAAACACTAAGGATGTCATAATAAATACACAACATATGTTACAATATAAAGACATATTTGTCCCGAATACTATTATAAGTTGTCTCTTATTCACTCAACATTCCTATTCAAGTTCCAACGACTTTAGTACCGCTACCTGTAATGCATATAATTTGAGTAGGTTAGGTTTGGGAACCTGATGAGACATATTGGGTTTTCAATCCCACAATATTATAATGATAATAAATCATATTCAAATATAATCCTGCAAACACAAACGTTATCAAACAATACATATATGATATATCCCCATGATAATGCACCACTAGTTACCCAACCTGTCAATTCTCACATACTGATCCTATAACAATGATCCATTGAGATCTAACCTGACGGATCACTATAAGCAATGAGTAGACTATACTGCTTCGGGGATCACTATAAACAACGAGTAGACTATACTGATTCTCGTTTTCTTTTGATAATTGTAACTTTCGCATACGAGCTCAGATTTTGACGATCTTTATACTCACGAGTTAGTATTCACAACTACAACTTTAATATAGATTATTTCATTCTTTTATAAAAGTAATTTAAATATTATTTATATACAAATAACATTTATATAAACACACACGTATTACGAATTCTTATTTATTTAATTATAAGAAAATTTACATTATTAGCTAGCGTAACTAAAGAATCTTCTACGACTTGATTAATGAAAAAAAGCGGGCGTTACAGATAATGAAAATCGTCATACTCAACCAACTCCCAAAAGTAATATAAACCTAATAATTTCTAAAAACATTGTTAAACCAAAGAATAGAGTAGTAAGACTCAAATAGCCAAGAGAAATAATATATAAACTCATATTCACAAACAAGGATATAAAAACTATGAAGGAAAACCCAAAAAATTTAATAAACTCATAATTTCTATTCAAAGAAGCCAATAACCAAATCCAATATTAAGGGCTTAATTACAAACCCACAACATATAGCAAGGGAATTAATATTTCACAATCCCAAAATAAAGAGGTTTAATAATCCATAATTCCAAATAAAATGTTTATAATCCATAACCAATATCCAAAAGGGTTTATGAAACCATAAACTCAAATAAAGGTTTAATCTTTTAATAAACCAAATGATAAAGAGTAATAACTCATAAGTGATCCTAGACCTTAATCCTCAGCTAATTATAGGTATATTAAGTAATTTAGTTTCTAATTAGTTGCTAATTATTTTGGTAGTTATCTATTAACCATAAATCTTACTAAACATATTTTTTATAACTTATATAAAGGAATAAGAGAATACTATAGTAGATTCAGATGTCGATTGGTATAATTATGAAAACAAGGAAATTTTGGATAGAAGCCCCATATAACCTTGTTGGGAACAATAGGATAGTCACACATACATGTGACCTGTATGTTTCACCCAAAACATCGACTAAAAACTTATCAAATTCAATCCTAACTGTTCCAAATTAAGTTGTAACACTCGGTTTCAAATCGTTTCAATATTCGGGGTCGTGACCCGATTATCGGTTATCATAAGGCTTAGGGCCTTAGGGAAAAAGGTTATTTGGCCCTTTTTGGATGTGGGAGTTATAGATGAAGTAATCCGAGTGTTCGATTGTGTTTCGAAGCCCAAGGGTATAATCATAATTTTGGCAGTTCGGGCCTTTATGAATTTTGGGTCTTTGTTCGGTAAGTTTTAAGGTGATGGTGAGTTGATAGAAGTATAGGGCTTCTCGTCGCCTTTCCGTAGATATAAAGTTTGCTGGAAATGAACGTAGGACGAAGGAGTTAGGGCCAAATGAAGTTCAAGTATTTTGGAGCTTGGTCGAGTACGCGGGGTGTACTCACCAAGGACGCACGGCGTAGTGGGATTAATGGCCGCGGGTCCTTTTTGAGTACGCCGGGGCGTACTTCCTTCATCATGAAACCCTAAATTTGTGGGTTGTACCCTATTTAAGCTATAATTTAGCCTTTTGTTGCCTTGTTTAACCAACCTCCTCACCCTTGAAAACACTATTTCGTTCCTTAGCCATGGTTTGGTGCTTTTGAGCTCTTATGAAGCTTTTGTGGAGGATTTTGTACATCTTGAGGGGAAAGAAGAAGCTTGAAGACTCATTCTTTGGAGGAGGGCTTGAAGATCCAGTTTTAGCACCTCCTTTTGGTGGCTTGTGAGGTAAAAAGTTCAAACCTTGACATTTCATTTTATAGATCTACTCCTTGGCATGTTTTTGGTCATTTTGGTTGGTGATTGGGTGTGAAGGCCGTTTTTGGAGCTTAGCTTTATAGATATGGACATATTAAGGGTTCCTTAGGCATAAAGGTGTAAAATTTATGGTGGTTTTGGTCTCATGAAAGTATTAAGTCATTTATTAAGCTCCTTTTGAGCTCTAGAGCCCCATTAAGCCATGCATGCACATAAAGTTGTCAACTTTATGTGATTAACCACCTTAAGGAAGTCAAATTTGGGTTTGGATCGAAGTCTTAATAGATTAAGAGCTAATTTGGAAAGTTGGCCAAAGTTGGTGAGTACGCGGGGGAGTATAAGCCTGTATGCATCGCGTACAATCCCTTTAAGCAGTACGCTGAGCGTACAAGCTGAGTACGCCCCGCGTACTCAGCAGGCTTGGGTTTCGTTGTTTTGGGCTTCAGCTTTGGAGTAGGATGGGCTTGGTTTTGGGCCATGTTGGGCCATCAGAATTTTATAGTTGGGCTATTGAGAATTTATGGGACACTCTTGGGTGAAGGATCATGGAAAGGATTGGGCCCAATTTGGAAAATTGGGCCATAATTGGGCTTTGGATTATTATTTTAGATTTTGGGCTTTTTGGTAAATTGGATTGGGCCTTGGCCTTGGGCCAAGTCAGAGGAAGGGTAAAAATGTCTTTTACCCTAATTTGGACTCTTAGTCTGTGTCATGACCCGATTATTAATTGGATGTCATTTTGGTATTTGATAGCACGTAGATTTTAGCGGATTTGCAGTCAGCGATTTATCTGTGGTTTCAACTGTTCTATGGGTTGAAGGCACCAATGCCGGCCCATTTGGCTTATGTTATTGGAAGACCAGGGGTGGCCCTTGGCATTTATATGAAAGACCCGGAGGTGGCTCCTGTCAAATCTGTATGCAAGACCAGGGTTTAGACCTTGGCAGCTAAGTAGGTAGTTAGTTATAGATTGTATGATAGTTGTCTTTGTGATGCTTGCATGGAAGACCAGGAGGTGGCTCCTTGCACTTTTCTATAAGACCCAGGGTTTTGCCCCCCGGCCTAGCAAGGGAAGACCATGATACGGATCGTGAAATAATAACAAGACTATGGTTGGCACATAGCACCTTCTATTGCATGTATGATAAGTATGATATGTATGATGTGTATGGTATGTGGTATTTTGGGGAAACTCACTGAGCTTTGTGCTTATAGTTGTTGTTTATGGTTTCAGGTACTTCCAGTTCGAAAGGAAATGGTCCGGCTTGATCGCAACACATACACCCATATTTTCCGCAACCTTGTGATTTTTGGATTGTACTCTGATAACTGTTTTTATTATAAAATACCTTTAAGTGTTTGAGTAAATGATAAATGGGTGTTCTGGTTGTTTTAAAAATGAAAATTTTACCTTGATATTTTGTGACGTTACATGAGTTTAATGGCTACTAAATGTATTTGAGTTTGCTTAAACTTCAACTAACAAGATTAGAACCTAAAACACATGGAATATAATTTTCATATGAAATTGGAATCATAATCATCATTTTGACATTAAGATCAAACTCTCATGAATTCCATGGAAGCTCAAAAATCATCCAAAACTTATTGTACAACCATAGATGCCTAGGATACTTACATAAACATAAAATGACAGTGAAATATAATGTTTTAATACCAAATTATCATCATAACACCAACTGAAACTGTAACGCCCCGATTCTCAGGTATTGAATTAATATAAGAATTTTCTTGTTTTCAAGGTCTACTCGACGAGTTGGTTGCCCTGCTCGTCGAGTAACAGCGGGTTGGTTCGCGTGTTTTAGTGACCTACTCGCCGAGTCCAATAAAGGACTCGACGAGTAGGAGCTGGCAGATGAAACCCTAAAGTTTGGGGTTTTGCACCCTATTTAAGGATCACTTATCCCCCCTTAGCCTCTCTTACTGCTCCCCTCGAATTCAGAAACCCTAATTCGTGTTGTTCTCTATATTGGTGTACTTCTTAGCTTGGAAAAGGGATTTTGGTGAGGAAAGGTTTGAAGACCAAGAAGCTTTGAGCAAGGAACAACTGGGGATCTAAAGTCTACATCAGCTTATCACCATTTGGAGGTATCAAGTCATCACCTTGAGCTTCTTCTAGTTAAACCCCTTTCTATATTGAGTTTTGGGACCATTTTGGGCATTTGGTGTTGCATTTCGAGTGATGAACCAAGATCTGAAGTTGCAACTTCAGATCCAGGCTCATCTTGGCCCTTATCATCATAAAGTCTCAGTCTTTAGCATGTTGGTGGAGCTCTTTTGCCTAGAACCCCTTCTTTAGCTTGTTTTAGGTCATTATCACCTTGCATGCACGTAAAGTTTGCAACTTTACGTGATGAACATGCCTTGGGAAGCTGGATCTATAATATGGAGCCTTAGCATGGCTTAAAAAGCGTCTGTATGGATGAGGGATTGAAGGGACTCGACGAGTCGCAAGGTCGACTCGGCGAGTCATATGAAGATGGTTATGAACTCGTCGAGTTAATGAACAACTCGGCGAGTCCGATGAAGATTGCCTTGGGCTCGGCGAGTCAGTCGAATGACTCGACGAGTCGGCTAGGATTTTTCCCAATCTTTGGACACGTATGAACTCGGCGAGTTAAAGGGAAACTCGACGAGTCAACCAAGGATTTCACGACTTCTCGAGTTTAGGAAGGACTCGGCGAGTTGGTGAACTACACTCGACGAGTCGAGTCAACATGGACTATTGACTTTGACTGTGGACTTTGACTTTGACCAAGGGTTGACCAGTTGGCTTCTGAGGGTATTTTGGTAAATTGAATATTGATAGCAAAGGACATTGGTGAATATAGGTGTGGGAGTTGGAGCTACTTTTGGAAGAGTTTAACACTACCTTCCGAGCTACTTGCGAGGTGAGTTATCCTCACTATACTCAAGGGTCTAAGGCACCAAAGCCGACCCTTTGGATTGTTATATGGTTATGTTATGCTAGTATGATCTGTTAGATCGGTATCCTAGAGGGTAGGATAACATTATATGATATGTGGTATGATCTGTTAGATCGGCATCCTGGTAGATGCGATGGTGTTATGTGCTATGTGGTATGATCCGTTAGATCAAGTATTGTCTATAGACTATTATGTGATTATTTGTTATATGTGCACATGTTTGTTTGGCGGTTGAGGCTTATCTGCTTTGTGTGAAAGCCAATAGACCTGGGCATTCCAACCTGTTGGTTGTGGGCCGTGAATATTCCATCCCGAGGATGACTGCACTCATAGTATGTGGGCATTCCAACCTGTTGGTTGTGGGCCTGGGGTATACCATCCCGAGGATGATTGGACCCATAGTATGTTGGCATTCCAACCGGAAGGTTGAGGGCCTGGGGTATTCCAACCCGATGGTTGACTGGACCCATAGTATGTTGTTTATGATTATATGTGTATTGTTGCAGGTATGGGTATTTTGGAAAACTCACTAAGCTCTCGGGCTTACAGTTTCAGTTTATTGTTTCAGGTACATCAAGGATCGCGGCAAGGCGAAGGCGTGATCGTACAGCCTCTCATGTTTTGTTTATGTTTATGGGAAAACTCTGATATTATACATTTTGAAAACAAAGTTGTAATGATTTTTAATGGTTTGAAATGTTTTTAAAAGTTTTAAATCGGCTTGAATTTTTGGGTGTTACACTGATGATCAGAGAGCTGCTGTTACTTGGGAGCAGTTCAGGGACATGTTTCACGCCCGTTACATTCTGCGGGTCGAGCGGGAATGTTTGTCACAAGAGTTTCTGAGTTTGAGACAAGATGGGGAGTCGGTGACAGAGATCACCCGTATGTTCACTGAGAGGACGATGTTTTGCCCGGAGTTTCCTTCCGAGCAGGCTCAGAGGACCCGTTATCTGAGCATGCTCAAGACGGATATCCGTCAGTTTGTGTCTAATAATCAAAGTCATTTGCTCTTTACGACTTGCATCCGGAGTGCAATCAAGAATTACCGAAAAATATTTTGATTTTTTATTTTTATAATAATTGCACTTTTTACTTCGGATGCCAACAATTCAATTAATTCGTTTTGAATTTTATGACTAAGGTAATGAAAGTGACTTTTTTTATCTTGAATAAGTTGAAAATGGTGTTTCATTATTGGATCAAACTCAGCAATCATTTGAAGTACACCTAAAAAGTTACCATTAGATTTCTTATATATTTTTTCATTAGTTCCACGAAAAGCCAAATTATATTCAGCTAAACATTTTACAACAGCAATAATTCTTATCAAAACTTCTTTCCAATGTTGAGTATCTTTTTTTATTCTTTCTTGTAACTCTTTATCAATTGTTTCATTTTTCCTTAACCTAAGTCGTGTTTGTGTCCAAGTTTTTAAATTAATCATGTGTTCAGAACTATGTTCATGTTCATTTAATTTTTCACTAAGATGTTTCCAATCATTAATTCCTTTGGTTGCCAAATTACTTCTAGATCTAGCTGTTTTAAATAACTTACAACAAAAACAAAACACTTTATCAAGTTCTTTTGATTACACCAACCACTTTCTATCATAAGAGTCACCATTCCTTAATTTACGAATATAAAATTCACAAGAAAAATGTCTACCTAGTGCATCTTTTGGAAAAATTTTGTTATTTTCAATTTCCCTAATAGGCCATTTTTCTACAAGCAAATCTTTCATTTTTAAATTTAACTTATCCCATACTCTTGGATCAAAAATATTAATATCACTAGATTTATCAACAAAATCATTATTTTCATGATCATTAGAATTTTCAATAGGTTCATTAGAAGTTTCAATTGGACCTTTAGAATTATCAACAAAATCATTAGTTTCAACATCATTAGTATTTTCATCATTATTTTCATTTCTAACAAAATACTTATTTAAAGATCCTTGTAATTTATTAGTAAGATCTTGTTCTTTTCGTTTTCGTTTTCTATTTTGAGCACCACATGGTTGTTTTCTAGGAAACATATTTAAACTTCACAACAAAATTTAAAAATCAAAAAGATGTAGTAACAACAAAGAAGGATACAACCTGAGATTAGCAATCCGTGAGATTAGCAATCCGTATCCACAACCTGAAGTTAACAATGTATCCACAACCTAAACAAAAAAATAGTATCTTTTAGATTTTCAGAAATTAAATTAACATATTATTCAGAAATCAAAAACACAATCAGATTATTCAAAAATCAGAATTTAAAAAACTCAACAGATTATATTCATCCAATTATTCAGAATTCTGAATTAACATCTCAGAAAAATCAAAATAAGAATTCATATCGCATCTCAAAAAAATCAAAATCAGAATTCATATATATCGCAATGTACATATCACTATATCAGATTCAACAATAGACATACAAATAACTTATCAGATTATATAAAAACAATCAAAATCAACAACTTAATTTGATCATAAAGCAAGAGCAGTAGAAGAAAAAGAAAGAAAAAAATTACCTGTAAAATTAATGAAGCTTAGTGTAATCTAGGATCAACAACACTGCAAGTTTGCAATCTTGGATCGGATGAGTTGGATGGAAAGTTCACTTCTCCAGGAAGCTATATAAAAAAACTGAAATTTCAAAAACTTACTGGATTAGGAGTTATGCAAGAAATTTTCAAGTAGGTTATGCAAGAAATTTGAAATATTAGAAAAAACTTACTGGATTGATTAGGAGTTAGGACCTTAGGAGGACGAATTCATCAATAGCTGTATCCACCTTTGAATCTTCGCTTTAAGTCTTTAGCACAACAGAATTAGAGCAATAGATAAACTAGTAGGGACGATTCAGACATTCAATAGAGGACGATTCAGGAAAGAAAGAAAGAAGAAGTAGGCGATGGCGAGAGAGAGAGAGAGAGAGAGAGAGAGAGCCAGAGAGGGAAAGAGAAGCGAGTGTTGAAGGCTGAAGTGGTGAATCGGATGAGACAGGGCAGTATGCGATGGCGATTGGCGATCGATACAGACTAAATATTGATTTTAAACTATAATCGTCCATGTCCATCTCCATTCTCAAGAAAGGACGCCTCGTGTTCTTCATCTTCAATTATTGGAAGTTTAGATCGAAGAGTCGGATACCGTTGTAGTTGCCGTATTAGGTCTCCAAGAATCCGCTGCCCTCTTAAGTCTTGAACGGGATGGATTTTACTGGACTAGTCTTCTTAACATGGCCCAAATATACCATAATACCTATAAGAGGCTTTGAAAAATTGCTGCTCCATTATAAATTGCTGCCCTGGGCCGTGGCCCAGCTCGCCCTGGGCTTGGGCCGGCTTTGATTATAATATGATATGTGTTTAAAAAATAATTAAATAAATAGATAAAAATAAATTAGTTAAATTTTTATAAAAGAACTGTTGAAAAATATTAAACAATTAATATATTTAATTAGCATTAGCAGAAAGAAAAAGAAAATTTTTAAGATATAAGTAATTCAATCATTGAAAACGTTCTTATTCAATAATCAATTTGTCCGTCAAAATATTCTTTTATTTAAAAACAATATTAATTCACACTTTAGTCTTGTGGTATGCATATACTATTTTTAATATTCGAAGTATGCATTATCTATCTTTGTTTAAATAAAAAAAATGCAATAATAAATGTCATACGCTCTTATCGTGCTCATGATGAATGATAGGTGTTACTTATTTTTTAGAACAAATTACAGGATGGTCCTTGAGCTTTTCAATTTTTCCCTGATATGGTCCCTACAAAACTTTTTTCCCTGAAATGGTTCCTACGGAGCAAACATTGCACACAAAACGTCCTTATCACTAACTTTGGTAAAATATCCTGTTAAGTATATGTGAAAAGACGAACATACCCTTTGTTTTATTTTTTTATATTTATTTTAATATGTTATTAACTTGAAATAAAAAAATGGGACTCTCTCTCTCTCTCTCTCTCTACCCTCACCACTCTCCCCTTCCCGTTTTTTTTCACCACCGACCAAGGAAGAGGCTGCCAGCCACCGGAACCGTCCCTTCCTTCCTCTTTCTGTCGCAATCCAGCTCCACAAACACCCCTACAACTGTTGTTGTCCCCATCGATCTCCGCAGCCCTGCCAAAATGCTTGGTTACCAGAAAAACGAACCAGAAGAAAGGATGTTGTTGCCTCCGATTTGCCCCCCTCCACCTCCTTCTCCAGTCGAGTAGCATCACCCTAAACATCCTATGTTTTTGTTCTGCTCGATCCTTGCCTCTCCTTCTCTTTCTGTTTTATTGTCGGACAAAGAAAGAAGAACCGATGAGGGAGCTGCCGGAGCAGCCCCTCGTCAGCACCGCCGTCGATACGAAAATCACCGGCTTCCACCTTTCCCTCTTCCTACTCTGATCGACAAAACCACCAGTAACCATTCCTTCCATTTTCTCGGCGGCTCCTTGACCCTTCAATCCAGTTGCTTCCTTTCCCCTTTGATTGGTGGTCGCCGACAACGAGAAAAGAACCATAGATGGTCGTCGGAGGTCGGCTGCTCCTCCTCGCAATCTGCTTGACCACCGGAGCTTCCCGATCACTGCTTTCCATTTGTGTTTCTCTTTTTGCTTCTCCGATCAGACAATAAACGGGGAACATTTCCCCATCGTTTATGTTGCTGGATCTCTAGTGGATCTACCATCGATGCCCGAGCAAAGGAGAGAGAGAGAGAGAGAGAGAGAGAGAGAGAGAGAGAGAGAGAGAGAGAGAAGGACCATTTGTGGACAAAGAACAAAGAGTATTTTCGTCATTTATAATTATTTAACAGAATCTGTTAACAGAGTTAGTCATAAGGGCCTTTTGTGTGCAAAGTTTGCTCCGTAGGGACCATTTTAGGAAAAAAAAAGTTTCGTAGGGACCATATCAGGGAAAAACTGAAAAGCTAAAGGACCATCCGTGTAATTTGTTCTATTTTTTATAAATAGGCTGATTTTGTTTATGTATTATCTTTGATAATCAAATTAACCATTAAGCTAACAAGGAAACATGTGTAACATCATACAAAGTGTACGAAAATGCATACAATATATAAAAGACTATATTTTAGAAAAAAAAAATATTACTATAGTAATTTATCTGATACATTAATTATTTATAAAAAGTTGAAAATAGATAAAAATTGTTTACCGATCAGCTATTTGCTCATATTAAAAGAATATTTGTTTTAACTAAAGTTGGCAATGTGACAACCCATGACATGATAAGAAACGAAATTGGGTTGAAATAGAAATTTGAATTCGTGTTTGTATTTGTGTCGTTTACATATCAAATGTAAAAAACACGATGCCGTGTTGTGTCATGTTCAAAATTCGATATGAAGCTGACACGATATTAACATTGTTTTTCATGTCTTGAAAAATTAAATTTGAATTAAATAAATAAAATATTATTTTATTTTATCTTTTTTGCGTTTGTGGTGTCCGTCATTTTTATTGTGTTTTAATTGGATAATTTTCGTGTTAGCAAAATAAAACACGACGACATGTCGTGTTGTGTTCGTATTATATAAAAATCGTCGTGTCGTGTCTGCTAAAAACATGATACGACTGTCCGGTTTTTCACCGTTAGTTTTAACTTAAATTAGTATAACTCATTACCAAAACCGCAAAATTATACATGTTACAACAACGAAAACACAATACATGTATTATTAATCTAGTTTTTGTACAACCAATCTAGTTTTTGTTATCAATATAATAGTTTTAGTCATGTACTTTTACAAGTATATTAGTAGTTGCAACAAGAGTTTTGAATATAAATGTTTAAAATATTATATTTTATAGAAATTTGCGATAAACAAACAATATGTAGTGTGTACGTGAAACCATCCTTATTGGCTTACTGAAAAGTCGTAGAAAACACACCCTTACTAAGGTGTGCATAATTGACCAAATAAGTGAGTTAGCATTATGGTTGCAATGTTTGACTGTTAACAAAAAGGAACAGATTATAATGTGTTTCAATTTTGAAAGCTTCAACCGGGCCTCTTTGAATACCTACCTTTGCATGTATTTATCCATTTATAATATCATAATGTCAAGGTCTTGGTAGATGAAGTTTCGTTTATGGTTCTGGAAGTATGGGTTCCTCCTCTACAGGAAGAAGACACACAATCGCTCCAAAATAAACCACAAGGAGGTCATCCTTTTGAAGTTTTTTTGACAGAAAATGGGAGTGAAAACCTTTTTAATGATGAGGATTTCTCGGAAGGTGTTACAAACACTTTTATCTCGGAAATCAAAAAAACAATTGCACAAGTAAGAAAACCATGTACGAACCAATGAACAGTTTGACAATGTAGATAACAATACCGAGGAAATTGTTGCGGAGAAACCGAAAGAAAAGATTAAGCATGTTCTACCTCACATGGATGCAACAAATCATATGAGGTTGGGAATACGGATCATCCTCTGGGTTTCACATTGTCAAAACTCAGGAAAATGCCGGCAACCGCTGTGACAGAGCAACCTGATGTTGCTGATTTTATTTGACGTCGATAGCAGCTACTAATCAACCGTTAGACATAAATGCTAGCGGTGGTTTCATGAGGTAGCTTAAGCGGAAAATTCATGTAACTCATGGTATATGCTAGTCTCATGTTCAAAAGGAGAAGCATGTGGTGATAATTATCAGAAGTAGATAAATGACTTCAGAACTAAATCACGTGGGCCGAGTCAACATTATAGTATAAGATTACGTACGACTATAAATTCAAAAACAAAATAGAGATTTGGTTTCTAATTATGAAGAAAGTTTTCAAACTATTCAAATGGGGAAGGCGATGAGGTATAGAATGAAGGGGTGTGAATGAGACCTTAAAGCTATGGTTAGCGAGGAAGGGGGCTTGGAGAACTCCAGTTAATATGCTTTCCATAAATGCTTGAAGTCTCAGTTAGAAATTTGGGGGTAAAAGCATTTGGAAATTCTGATAATTGTGTAAACACTTTCAAATCGAATTATTTGGATGGTACTCCCAAATCCTTAATTGAATAAGACTCATAAGTTTTTGAGAACAAGAAAAGAGAATGAGAGGGTCTGTTTTCGTTAGTACCAGATTTTTGACCAAAATATGGTTAAGTATCTCTCTTGTCTGAAAACTGTCATATGCCAGTTTTGTATCCCAAAACTGTCTTCAACAGACAAAACTGTCACAAAAATGGGCTCTGCCCCTTGGATCCCGTCAGGGTCTGCTGTCGCCCATTGGACCCCGCTCCCAGGGGCGTTGCCCTCAGACCCCCCGTTCCTTTAGGGGTTTTGCCCTAAATGATACTCTACTTTGAATCTTGAATAAATTTAAACAAGTGTGGACTCAGCACATTCCTTACTAGTGAAACAATTCACCAATAGTCTCGGAGAGAGTGATAAAGGGGTTGTGTGTGGAAGATCGAATTCATTTCTTAGGTATTCAAGGAACGACTATAAATTGACACGATCTCTCCATATTAAAAGGTGTGAGAGGCAATGCATTTGAATTCGATTGGAATAGTGCAAGGGGTAGTACCGGTGGAATCTTAGCTATTTGATATTCCTTAAAGTTTTAAGAAAAAAAGGAAGACATATGAGTAACTACCTTGCGGTGAACACTAAACAATGAATGGGTTACACAAAATACTATCATTACATTTATTGATGATTATACATCACAAGAATTGGAATGATAAAGAGACTTTGGAGTTTTATCTTGGCTATGATTGTTTGAAGATTGGATGAATATGTAATCTCTAGTGACCTTAATGAAGTTTGGGTTCCTATAGGGAGGTTTGGTTCACCCTTTTAGTCAATCTTCGGCGATTCAATAAGATTGTTATTAAAGGGGTACTCGATGAATAAAGGGGAATGAAAGTAAGTTAACTAGATAGGTTCTTACTAACAAATGAAATGATTGACATGTTCCCCGATGTAACACAATTTTTTTTGGACACAAAATGGTGTGATTACAACCCTATTATTCTTAAATATCTTGTGAGGGATTACAATCCAACTCCTTTAAAATTGATTTATTCATGATTTTCTATGGATTGGTTGAGAATGAGGTTAAAAAACCAATGCATGTTGATGGTGATGATAACTATAAAAGGAAATAAATTTATTGTTTTTAAAAAACAAGTTTAAATGCTTTGATAGCAATTTAAATCTATGGAATGGGAATGTGAAGAAATCACAAGTTTCTAAGAAGATGGAGATTAAAAAGAAGGTTCTTGAGATTAATACGGGTCAATATGTAATTGCCAAGATTTTGGCAAATCAAGTTTTAGAGGTTAATAGGATATTATTAGTATCGATCAAACAACTTAAAGGGTTGTCAAATTTCTGATGGTCTCTAAACGGTCAATGAAATCATTGGTTGGTATACATAGAATAGAAAAAAGATTATACTTTTTAAATTGACTTTGAAAAGTCATATGATTTTGTGTGTTGGGGTATTTGGATGACATCCTTAATAAATTGGATTTGATATGAAATTGAGGAATTGAATAAAAGCATGCCTAAATTCTTCCATGGAAACATTTTTTGTTAATATGAGTCCTACTTTTTGAATTTCAATTTCAAAAGCGGTTTGATGTAAGGTGATATGAAACGACACTAGGTCATGAGTGGGATGATGATGTGAAAAGTGGGATGATGACCAAATGACACTAGGTTGTAAGTCTATAGGCCCAAAGTGGGATGATGATGAAACGACACCAGGTCATGAGTCTAGAAGCCCAAGGTAGGATGATAACGGAACACTGCTAGGCCGTGGGTCTACAAAAAATAGGAGGATTGTGTCTCTGTGACAATCGAGAAGATTCCGTCTGTAACATCCCAAAAATCATGACAAAAAATTTCAAGTTTAATATAACAACTCATAAAAACATTTTAAAGGAACCATTATCAAGTTATTTCATTTCAACAAAACCATAGATCATATGTCTCAAAAGCAAGTCATAATATAGTAATAATGTCAGAGTACAATCCCAAGAACATCATAGTGCGGAAAATAGTGGTGTGATGCGCTGCTACTGTGCCAGCTCCTTTCCCTTTGAAGAAAAAGGACCTGAAACAAAAACTGTAAACCGTAAGCACAAAGCTTAGTGAGTTCCCCCATCATACCACATACCATACAATAACATACTGTCAGGCATATCTGGGTGCCCGACCTACCCCTTCGATCTCTTTCAACCGGTAACCGCCTAGCATATCTGGGTGCTGGCCT